TGACAGGGGTTACCACTTGTTGGTCTGAGTCTGGGATACTAGTCGGTAAGCAATGACACGTAGGAATTGTCAAATATGAGACAGTATAGTAGTCGGAGGCAGCTGAACCCAACGTATATTGTGCAGGCTACAAAAATAGGAAGCGAATCAGCCAGAGCGAGAAAGGTGCAGCAAGGTACTTACCAAAACGATTAGTGTCAACGGATGTGCAGTCAGCAAAACAAATAGACGTTTTGAAGGTTAAAACAACCGCAAAATCTAATGTTTCAAAATACTAAAAGGGCGTGTTTTCCGGTACACTACATTTAAAGCTAGGACTTGTTCGCACATGGAACTTCTAAAGCCTTTACAGCTACAAAGTTCCCGTGCTGTGTTGTTTCAGTTGGTCGCACACTCATGTGAATGGTGTAGCTACGTACTGCTGACCTAGTCGACACATTAAATACTAAGGTCAATTACCCTTGGTAGGTAAGAGCATCATTGGATCTGTAGCCATTCTTCCAACTGGCAGAATTTCTAGTGTGGCGGTGACACGACGTTAGTGAGCGGCCTCTGGTCGGTTATTTTTGGCTGTGTCTACAAGATCACTTTGTGTTGACTTTCTGCGTTCATTGGAAGTATTTCGTAGAAATTTAGCTACAATTCAGTTTCATTTCCGATTCTGAAATTTCCAACCAAAAATACTTTTGTTTTCATCGCTTGGTTTCGGCGATCTTGCTATCGCCATTTTCTTCGTCAATTGGCAGCCATCTTGTTTTCGAATTATTCACAATGCCGAAGCAGTCACTCTGCGGTACTTGCTCCAAGCTATTCGGATACAGTGCAAATGCCATCACGTGTGTTTTGTGCCAAGTTAAATACCTCATTTCATGTGTTAGATTATCAGTTGAGCATTTTCATCATCTTCGCGAGATCCAACACGATTTCGTCCAAACTATATGTGAAAATTGCTGAAATAAGATACAGCCAGGAAGAGTAAAGCCGACGTGTAGGCCTCAGCGCTTCGTTGCGAACAGCTCCGTGTGTTTGGCCCAACAACCTAGCCCGAAGAGCCATCAGGTTTCGGCTCAGTTGTCCTCATCTACCCGTGCAAACTCACCGACACGAAGTCCAACCGTTGTGAGAAGCCCAGTTGCACCTGGCCTAAATTATTTACCTTTGTCGTGTCCACCGGGCACTGATGTCCAGCAGGTGAAAGTCTGAGTGCTGAAAACCAGTGGAAAGAACAAAGAACGAAATTACGAAGGAACGTTGAGCGTTTACGTTCTGTAAGTCAACAGTTGGCCAAACCACTTGAAGCTGGTAGTATACTTCGCCCTGCAAGGCCAACCTCGTCCGACCAGAGGCGTTACAACCTCGTGATCTTTCATGCGCCGGAATCCAGTGATCCATCACCCCAAGTGCGCTACGATCACGATGTTGAGTTTTTACAGAGTCTAATTGACAGACTCCTCGACGCTGGTGAGGGCTCCGTGAAAGTGCGGCAAATTACCCGTCTTGGAAAACAAGGTGATCAACAATTCGGCCTACGAGAATCACTTTTGTGGACGAAGCCAGTCCAAGGCTGATCATGTCCCGCCTAAGTGGGCTGAAAGGTTTGAAGATCCATATTCATCCAGACATGGACCCAGTAGACAGGGAGCGGTTCAAGTTTGCCATCAGTGAGCTGAAAAGTCGCACTGGTGAGGGGGAAACAAATCTTCGTATTGTAAATTTTCGGGTGGTTTCCAACAATCTGCGAATCAGGATAAACAGGCTACTTACACTTCAAGCACGCCCGGTGGCTCCTGCTGCGGCCTGCGAGTCGCCTTCACAAACGTTTGCAGTGTTATGAATACGCGCGATGAGCTTTGTTGTTTCGTTGCGTCGGAGCGGCCAGACGTAGTGAGACTCGCAGAGGCATGGCTGCATGCAGAGTTATGCACCCAAGAACTTGAACTCAACGGTTACTCGTGCTTCCGATGCGATAGACTAAAGAATGCCCACGGTGGTGTCTTACTTTACATCCGGTCTTCCTTGCGTGGGAGACTTGTGAGCACCTACCGAAGTGACGATGGTTTGTGTGAGCTACTGTGGTGCTCCATGCGCATCAGGCGCAGAGAACTGCTTGTGGGCGCAGTTTATCGCAGCCCCCTGAGTCGTTGTTTGGATTGGCTGCCCATTCTTCGAACCCCCATGAGTTGTCCACACTCTACTTATGGGCGATTTTAACTGTCCTCGAATACGATGGCCTGATGTGCATTTGATGCCTGGACATAGTGAGGTTGAAGCGAAGTTCGTGAATTTGGTACTTGAAACTGGTGCATCACAACACATATGCCAGCGAACACGCATAACAGCACGCTCAACCCCGTCCTTTCTCAACTTGATGTTAACGAGCTACGAACAACGAGTGTGTGACGTTAGGATCCTGGAGCCCCTGGCTACAAGCGACCATTCAGTGCTCATAGCTGATATGGAATTATCTTTGCCGTATTCACGTCCGCTGCAACCAGCTCCCAACTACTGGAAAACGGACTTCGTTGGCCTTTCTCGCTTTGCGAGCCAACTGGATTGGTGTCTATCACAAGCTGCATTTGTGGAAGATTGTTGGATATTTATAAAAGAGAGATTGACATTATTGTGTTCCCAATTTGTGCCATTGAAATGTCGGAAGGTCGGACCGATTAAGCTTCATTGGTTTGATAAGGAGTACGGAAACCTGGCTCGGAGGCGACACAGACAGTGGGACAAATTCCTCCTCTCTGGCATTGCCAATGATTACGAAGGGTATAAATGTCAGCGGAACCTCTGCAACAGTGCAAGAAAGAATAAACGCCGACATTTCGAAGGGCAGCTCGCAATAGCCACGAAGACCACCCCAAAGCGAATATTTGCATACGTGAAGCGGCGCCTGAAGCCGGCAGATGATGTGCCAGTGCTGGATGGCACGGATGGACAGCCCCATAACCTCCAGCACTGAGCGTGCGTCCGCGTTGGCGGCGCACTTCGCTTCTGTATTTGCGAATAACCAGGTGTCTGTTCCGAGTTCGACGTGTACCGCTTTTACCGAACTCGGTAGTCTGGATTGCGGCGTTGAAGTGGTGTGTCAACTACTCGCCAACCTTGACGGCACCAAACCTGTCGGACCTGATGGGCTTCACCCATTGGTTCTCAAATCACTTTCGACCATCATCTCCTGTCATGACTGATCTTTTCAACAGGTCGCTGTCCGAAGGTTTGTTGCCGGTTGACTGGAAATGTGCGGTGGTGAAGCCTATTCCGAAAGTCGGCGACGCCGCCAATGTAGACAACTACAGGCCAATTAGCCTGACACCTATTTTGGCAAAGGTTGCTGAGAAAATCACGAAGAAGAGGTTGCTGCTGTTGCTACAGTCAAACGAGGTCCTGACACCCGCACAGCACGGTTTTATGCAAGGTCGCTCATGTATTACGATCCTGCTTTTGACGAGGCATGAGTAGTTGAAGGCCATAAGCAAAGGAAAGGCTGTTGACGTGATATTCATCGATTTCAGTAAAGCGTTCGACAAGGTCAGCCATGAGGTCCTCCTTCCCAGACTCAGGATGTGTGGTGTCGGTGGCTCACTGCACCGGTGGATCCGCGACTTTCTTGTTGGACGAAAGTGGAGTGTACAGGTCGACGACCATCTAACTGACTGGTACCCCTCTACAAGTGGCGTGCCTCAAGGCACTGTGTTGGGGCCCACTTTGTTCCTGATCCACATCAACGATCTACCGCAGCTTCTCCGGTCGCCGTGTGCCTTGTTTGCGGACGACCTGAATAGTTGGAGAGAAATTGACGCTGCCGATGACTGACCTACTTCAGCAAGACTTCAACCGCCTGTCCACATGGTCTGCAGCAATTCTTCTCCCGGTCAACCCAGTCAAGTCTGTATTTATGAGCCTGGGGAAGGGTGCTGACGGCCAACCGCTATATTCCACACCCTCCGTTAAGGACCTAGGTGTACTCTCGCGCTACGATTTGAAGTCCGTGGACAACACGAACAGGCTATATCGGAACGGACTGCGCATGTTTTGGGCGCTCAAACGTAGCTTCGGCACATGGTCTGAAGAGGTTGCCATCTGCCTCTTCTCTTCCGTCATTAAGCCAATGCTAGAGTACGGTTCACCCGCCTACTTTCCGATTACCCGAGGCGAGGCACAAAAGATCGAACGGGTCCAACACGTTGCTACCAGGCTGATCCCGAGTTTACGTGGCTTTGGGTACGAAGACCGGTGCGAGAAACTAGGACTCTACACCTTGTCCTACCGTCGGGTGCGATTCGACCTCATTATGAGCTACTGTATTCCCCATGCTGAGACCAGTGCTGCAATTACGAGGGCCATGCTGCACACCCGGACACAGAAACAAACTTGTCGTGCCGGATGTGAAACGTGTTCCCCACCCACTGTGCTTCGAACGGAGAGTGGTAAATATTTGGAACATTTTATCTGAACATGTGATTAAGGGAACATCTGCGCAGCAGTTCGGAACGTCAGATTTATATTTTACCACTATTCGATTCAGAGAACGATTGCACACTTACGATGGCATTTCACATTTGTGAATCCTGCAATATAGTGAGTCAGATATTTTATCTGTTACATGAGAACGACAACGATATTCACGGCTGACAACTTTTATAACGTTTATCACCATATTTCGAAAGAGTTGTACAGATTTCATTTCTGCTTGCTCTATAATACAGTATTCAGTCTGTACACCTATGGGCCACTTCGGTAAAAAATTACCGCTTCTGTGCCCATGGATCGGCTGTTATTTAAAGGTTGTAAGATGTATGTCAATCCTTCGTTTCGACATGATATTTACGCTTCACTTCCATGTGATTGATAAGCTTGAAATACCAGGTGACCCTACGGCCCTGATATGACCTACCAACAAGCACTGCATACGCATGTAAGCATAAGGTTCGGCGCAATTTTGCTCCTTCAACAATGCCTCCGGGATTACCTACTTTCCAATGACAAAATGTTTCCGAGTAAGTGCCAAATCGATAACAACGTGTGTTACGGCGTGCGCACATGACTGCTTCTAAGACTAGCTGAAACAGTGGTCCATAGCAGGAGTAGTGGGCGAGGTTGCCTTTGTAAATGGTTGCAAACACATTGTAGGAACGCCCGTGAGACAACAGTGTTTGTCTGTTCCAAGTACTCACCTGAATTACCAGAGTAAAATCCGTGCGTCGTCACTAATTATCGGCCGTTGTGTTTGTACTTGCAGGACAATGTGGCATTTATGAACACAGTCGTCTTTGTAGTCTCTTTAGGTGTTTCTTTGTTCAGTAATACCGATTCTATGAGGATAGCATTCCAGTCCATGGATGTAATAGGGAGGTTCCATCTGTATTGACTAGGCTTCTAATGGTGCCGTTTGGAGAGCCACTTGACAAAGCGTCTCCACACCTATGGGCGACCATATGGAAGTAAAGCCTAATTATCCTATGTATACATAGGTTCCGCATCCTTCCTATGACCTATAAATAACACCATACCAGTTGACACTGAATCAACAACTGATTAACAAAGTCGCCCATGGGTGTGGAGACGAACGAACATTCACTAATGTCGTGGCACCGCCATACTTGGAATCATCTTAGTTTGTAATTAGTCATCAACTGTGATAGAAGTAAGCACCCATAGAACATTCGTTGTTCAGCTTCAGGTTGGTCTACCTACTTCAATGAGAACGAGGTCACCCATGTTCGTCGCAATAACAATCGCACAATATTGCCCAACCGCCTAGCAGCGATTGCTGATTCACCATTGGGTGTGCAGTGTCCTAGACACGGCGCATACCTGACCAACCGCAAATGCAGGCAAGCCTGACTCCCTCAGACTTAAGGAACTGCGGAATACCAGTTAGGAGAATGCCTGTCTACGACACCATCGTAACCATGGCTGAAATAATCCACCGCCAGGTAGCGGCTAGCGATCATTAAGTATACACCGCTTCATGTGGTGGATTATATGTCTGTCCGCACTGCTTACGGCGTAAGCTTCGGATTATGTGGTAGCTAGGATCTCCTCCTTAGATAGGCATCACGAGTTGTCCATTGGACGGTTCCAGTTTGGAGAGAAACCATCGGGGTTTCCTTCAGACGGGCATCAGGGTGGCACAGAAGGTGGTGCTCGACCACTCTCATTGGACCATCCGTCACTTATGCTCGGGGCTTCCAACCGGTGTCCCATTGGATAACGTTCCATGACCAATGAGAGTGGTAACGACGCCAAAACATCGTCCTTAGCCTCGCGAACTTGAATGTACAGTAACCGATTTCGAAAATGTGACACGCTAACAGCCTGGCACAATGCGTTAACATGCCTGAAAAATAGTATGGACAGGCAGCAGCAATGTGCTTGAGTGCGCCGCTAGTGCAACGGTGCTAGCGTGTTAGATGGTCATCTCCCAGTGCCCAAATGTGGAAGCCATTGATCTAGTGATGCAGTGACCCACAAACACCGCACATCTTCAGCTTGTTGAGGAAGGCCTCATGGTTCACTTTGTCGAAAGCTTTAGTGAAGTTAGGGTAGATCACATCTACTGAATTCTTGTAGTTCAACGCTTGCAACCATGCATGCCACGTCAAAAACAGGTTAATGATACAAAAGTGTCCCTTCATAGAATCGTGCTGTGCGGGCGACAGGTTTTTCGAGTTCAGCAGCTGCAGTAGATCTTTTCTAACATATTCTCGAATTATCTGGTAAAAACGGAGGGCAGACGAATCGGCCGGTAATGGTCCATGTTAATTGAGACACCGCCTTTCTGAATCGGCTTCACCACCGAGCACTTCGTCGCTCAGCAATGCGCTTTCGGACAGCGAGATAGTGGACGACGACTAGAAAATGAGATAAAACGAAATGCTAACATCTTCCAGTGTTCGTCTTTCATTGCGCTGTCCAGACTTGAGAGACGGCAGATAGAGCCCATCCGAACTGTCAGGCTTCGTTCCATTAATACTGAAGCATGTTGCCATAGGTTACAAATGACACGGTTCCATCCTGAATTGCCGCTCATTCTGGAATACCTGTGTCTACTTTGATCTTGCGTTAATACGCTGTCATTTCTCCATGAACTTTACTAAAAGGCTCAACAAGTATCTCCCCCGATTCGCAAATGAGAAATGGTTTCAGCCCTCGATCAGGCAGGCCGATTAAGACTCAATGCGTACGGAACTTACGCACCCTTGTTTTAATGGCAATGAGCTTTAGGGGATTAGAATCGCGCCTAGCATGAACCAAGCTGGAGATCTTACTTACGGCACTACCAGTCGTCACCGCGCTAGTCACTGGATATCCGAGCGGTCGGTGAACCTGCTGGAATCCAGGAAACTCCCGGCTGGCACTAAGCACAATGTGACCAGATGGAGTATCAGACGCGAACCAAAGCGGAGCCTAAGCACTGACAAGGAAGCATGGTGAACCAGACGGGCTCAACAAATGGAGGAGGCAGGAGCAGTAGGCAATTACCGCAAGCTCTTCCAGCTGATCCGCACCACTGGTCCGAGAAAACCAGGCGTCAGTGAGACAATCAGAGACAGCGCGTGTGGGCTGATACACAATAAACAGCGCCGTATGGCTCGTTGGGCTGAACACTTTCAAGATCAGCTCAGCTGGCCCCCTGCTCCCGGATCTCTTCCTACTCAGGTGATGCAGGACGAGCCATGGACGGTTAGTTTAGAGCCTCCGTCGGAGGCCGAGGTCCGAAACGCGATAACAGCCCTTAATCGTTTTCGTGCCGCTGGCCCGGATTCCCTACCACCTGCACTATTTAAGGATGGAGGTGAGGTCCTCTGCAAAGCACTAACCTCCCTATTCGAACGTACATGGAACGAAGAGAGTGTGCCGGCCAATTGGAGGGAATCGATTATAGTGGCGATATACAAGAAGGGCAGTCGCACAGACTGTGCGAACCACAGGGGTATTAGCCTAACGCCAGTTGTG